AATTCTTTATTTCCCTGTATCAAAATTTATTGCGAGAAAATTCCGTAACGCGAGTTATAATGATAGTTGTGTGTATACGCACTTGTACTGGTACTCGTTGCGCTAGGAATTGTAGTTTTCTTGTTATAACTCGCGAACGCGGTCTCAAACTTAGTTCGGAATAATTTTCCAGATGCGGAATTTAATTCTTTATTTCCCTGTATCGAAATTTATTGCGAGAAAATTCCGTAACGCGAGTTATAATGATAGTTGTGTGTATACGCACTTGTGTACTCGTACTCGTACACTTGTACTCGTGTATGTCGGTTATTTCAACATTGTGAAATTTTAGTTTGGTCTTCTCAACTACGGGTTTACCACTACGTTTGTTATAAACAACTTTTTTTGTTTGACTGATGCGTATTATCGCGACGTACCTGCCTTGTACCTGGCAACGCGCAGCGCACACGGCAGTCGTTACACCGCGTGGTCCGCAGTCGTGTCCCTCTAATCGCCACGCGTTTTGAGGTTTTAATTAGATTAATCGACGTGTATTCTTTCGGCCATCATCAAAATATTCGGGACGGGCATGTGCGGCTGTTTTGTTTAATGATTTGTCGCGGTAAGATCTTCTTAATTAAGAAATAAGTGTTTGTCAATCCATACACGAGTTTTTAGTTGGTAGAATATATTACAGGATATAGAATTTCCTCATCAATGCAAAGGTACGTGTGTAATAAATTTTTTTCACGGAAACTTAAGGCGGTGTATTTAAAATTGATTATTCCATTTGAGGGATATTAATTTTGCTTGTATTACCTTGCAAATTACAAACACGTGGTTCTATTCCTATCAGAATTATTAGTCCCGTTTCCGAAAATAACATGCATGATTTAATTATTACCATGACGGTTTTAAAAATAATCTGTAGATTATTAAAATAACAATATTCATGTGGTCGATCGCGCTCAGTTTGCCGTCGGCCGTCGGCTCGGTCATCCTTTCGCGGAACACGTGAACGTTTTTAATCGAATTGCACTTGTTAGCATCATTAAATTAAGAAGTCTCTTGTTGACGTAATAAAATCTTGTACGGTGAATAGTTCTTCGTTTTTATAGTCTCCGTATATCTTAATATTTACAAAGAATTACCTAGTTATTTTTATCGTATTTAAAGACAGTAATGCCACGCGCCGTTGCTTGCCGTCTGTTGATTTAGATGTTTTCCACCGGATATTCTATCAATTTATGATGATGCTTTACCCGTCGGTTTAATTAATTAATAAATATATATTCACAATATATTAAAATGTAATTGTTTTTTTTTTCTAGCACTTTTTTGCTTAATTTCCCGATCATTTTCGGGTGAAATCTTTTAATTTATATTAAAATAATGTTGTTTCCATATAAATTCCCCGTGTCATGATGTGAATATTGATTATCTTTGTAGTTTCGAAAATTTTCTTTTTGTAAAACCCTGTATATTAGTTTTCCTAACCGCACGTAAAAGATTGTCTTTATTTGTGAGTTTTGAATGTTCATTGTTTTGAACTTGGGATTTTCTTTCTGGTACACCCTGTATATTAGTTTTCCTAACCGCACGTAGAAGATTGTCTTTATTTGTGAGTTTTGAATGTTCATTATTTTGAACTTGGGATTTTCTTTCTGGTACACCCTGTATATTAGTTTTCTTTTGTGTCCGTGAAAATTTTGCTTCAACTGTTGTTTTTAGGATTTTCCATTTTGCACTTTGAATTTTCTTTCTGAAACACCCTGTATATTAGTTTCCCCGATCGTCTAGAGAAAAGGAGCGACGTTTGTAGTGATAGTGATAGTTTTTTGTTTGCATTGTAAATTTTCTTTTTGTAACGCCCTGTATATTTGCTTTCATTTTCAATCACATAGAAAATAGGCTATTTGTTGATTTCATTATCCCGGTAGAACTTTACAAAGTAGTACTTGTTTGCATGTGCGCGACTATGCAGGTCGTAAGTCCTGCTTCAATATGGCGACATGAATTTTGTTGATTTGTAAAATATAAACTTGTATTAAAGAAATATAAAGAAATATAAAGAAATAGTAAGATATATTGACTTCTTTGATTTGTGTGTCGCCTTCTATCATTTCAGGAACAGGTCTCTAAGAGAGTTCCCTCTCTCAGGGGATGATCCCCTCTATAAAAATTGTTAAGGTAACCTGTATGATTTGTGTACTCCTTCTTTCATTTCAGCAACAGGTCAGAACTTGTAAGAATATTTTTAAGTGTCACCTCTCCTGAGGCGACTTAAAACTTAGAAATATTTTTACAAGACCTTATAAGGATGTCCTTATAAGGAGTTCCCTCTCCCTGGGGGTGATCCCCCACCATAAAAATTGTTGATATGTCTGATAATTCCGGGGATGAAGCGCAGAGACATCGTAGCTGTAGGATGGGCCGGGAGCAATAGACGGATCGAAGCAGTGGGCGATCGACCAGAGCGCCGGAGGCGCTCTGGGAGATCGACCGTAGACTGTCTTATAACGACACGTGCCAAAAAATTTAAAAATTCTGTCACCCCTATATCTCTTTCTTCTATCTCCTCCTCTTCTCTACTCTACTCTCTGTTCTCTTCCTTCTATCTTCTCTTATTCTTTACTACTCCTACTTCTATTTTCTCTGTTCTCGTTTCTCCACTTACTTTCTTACTTCTCTTATTGCCTTCACTTGTATTTCAATTTCTCTTATATTTCGTTGCAATTCATATATGCAACCCAAATTACACCTGACATTTTTATATTTGAGAAAAATGCCTTCTGTACCTGAGATTCGATCCGTGTCTGCCAGCATGCCAGCAGGTGCACGTCTCCACTCGACCACCGAGTGTTTTTATCATTAATATTTGATTCTTCTATTTATGTTTCTACTTTATCCAACTTTTTAAAAACAACAACACAAGCCTTAGCTATGTTGTAGACGGTTGACGTACACAAGATTCATACGCAATATGATGTAAGACGCTTATCCTGGAAACGATAAAGAGGATGTCACAAAGAAATGTGAATGCGATTGAAATTTTAAATTGTGTTTTATTAATTATATTTAACAATATATTCATTTTTTAAATAAAGTAATATCCAAGACCCGTTGCAGTAAAGACTTGCCTTTAAATGCGCGCATGGATCGTGCACTCACAAACTTCTTCCTAGGACACCAACGTTGTCTATTTGCAGGAACTAATCCTAAATCCAAGTTATTCCTAGCTGTAAAAAGTTATCCGTCGCCCGACGGAACCACGCACGCACTAGTGAACTGACAATTACTCCACGGTTGAAAAACGTTTTACGCGTGCAATCACACTAGCAAACCTCTGTTCAGGTATCATTCCATATGGTGTCGATTGTTTATTGACTATAAATCGATTTACTTAATTATGATATAAAGAAATAAAACTAGTCGCTATGAGCACACGCGGTTTACTCGATGGCTGGAATCGAACTGCCTGTGCGGCAGCACGCGGTCACGATACGCAGTGGGATGCGCTCGCTGAACTCGACAAAAAATTGTTTACATACATGCACGGATATTTGTTCTAGTCGGGTTTGCTTCTGCCTCTGCGCCGTGTGTTAAAATCATGTCTAGTAACATTTAATTGTTCATATTTTCCATTTAATCAAAATGGAAAATTCATTCTTTTTTACTAAATCGATGACTTAAATCCCGTATCAGTTGCCTTAAAATACGCGCAACTCCAACACTACCGTTATATTGTGAACTCCATAGTTCGGACACTCACAAACTTCTTCCCTATGCACCAATGTTGTATACTTGCGTGAAAGTAATATTAAATCTAAGTTATTTTTAGGAGCAAAACGATAACCGTCTGCCGGCGAAACCACACACACATACACGCAAAGATGAACCAAAAATCAATCCGTAAATGATAAACACTCAACGCGTGCATTACACTTGTGAAACCTCGATGACGCCCGATATCGGTACATGCCGCCTTTTGTTTAATAAATATTATGCGATTATTTAAAAATGTTTTGGCAAAACTAGTCGCGATGAACACGCGCGATTCATTCGATGGCCGGAATGAAACTGCTCACGGCAAACATACGTTGGCAACACGCGGTCACTATCAGTATTGCGATACGCTGGCTGAACACGTAAAAAAATGTCTACATACAAACATCGCGCAAACCTCAACTATGAAAGCATAGCAGCGCCAGTTTTGGTACTACTAACATACTCGGCCAAAATTCTACAGTGCTCCTATTGAAAATCATTAATCTCTGGACCCATTTTCCATCAAACATTTTAATAATGACCAAAAGTGATGAAATTGGACACCAATTTAAAGGCACATCTCGGCACTTTAGGGTGTGAATTAATAGTCCAATCGACTAAAGTACTCTCCCTCAATAATCTGAAGAAAATTAAAATCGGCCACGGAAACGATAAAGATACAGACAAAAATCATAAAATTAGGGTATCTGTTACAATATAAAACAGTAAACAAAACAAACAGTAAACAAAACAACCGGTAAACAAAAATCGTAAAAGTATGAAAACGATTTTGATGCCCTTCCAAGGTAATTTCCGGGTCCGGCATTTAAAACAATTATTGCGCTATTAGCGCTTCTTGTAACATTAAAAATACAAACTTTTACCAAGATAACGCCCAATTTCCACAGTCAGTACATTAAACCGATAAATACGTAGAACAAAAAACGAAATCACGCGTAGTCTATGCAATTATGTTGACGATAAAAATAAATTACTTCGAGACTTACCTGGATATCGCACCGCATGACAAAGGCCAGATTATTGTTGTTTCATCAATTGCGATGCACATGTCTCAGCAGATAAGCGGCAGCCAATAGCACTGATAGCAAAAAATGAATTAAAGCGCGTGGCACGATTATTCAACGGACGATAAATCAATAGCAATACACAATATGCAATTAGCGTTTTGCTGTGCGATGATCGATCGAATATAACGCGAGGCGAGAAATTTAAATACGAAAGCAAACCTAGTCTTCTAATGCAAGCAAAATTTAGTATTATGACTGTATTGAATAAACAACAAATGTTGGCCTTCTATATTTATGAAGAAATTTAAATTAAGTGCTGCCATCTAGAGGACAGTTTCCCAAACACTCCAATCTGTAACTAGAAAGACTAGAAATCTGTAACGATTGCCTAGTTTATCATCAGAACACTTACCGCATTTGCATTTTGTGGATATTCATGCCATTTTCACCTATTCTTCAGCACCACATAGAATGTGCCCTAACAAAACCGTCCATTTCATTGGAATCTCGGATTTATTTACGGCCTTCATGCAATACCCTGAAAGAAATAAAGAAAACGTTTTGTATATACAGGTAGTTTCGATAGCCAAGTACAGATGGCCACGGTTGTACAATAGCGATCGCCGCACGAACTTTTTGTTTGATCAATTAAAATTCATGATAGCAACTCACTAAAAACAATTCACTTGAACGTCACATCGACATATAATATTTCTCTTACACAGAATATACAAAATACACTATATACAAATCACTTTATAATTCATATATATTAATTAAACCATAATCATGAGTGAGCCAAAACATTCCGTTAGAATATCGATTGCGCCATCAATTATATCAACAAATAGGATATCTATAGCTAATTCAGGCGTACAAGAAGTGATGGAAGAACAATCAAAGTCAGCTTCGCAAAACATCTCAATAATAAAAATGTCTGGGGACGAAAATGCGAGAATCCAAAGATTATCGATACGTTCACAGCCCAAGGAAAGTAAAGGGTCTATGAGTCTAAGTGCACAACACTCAGCACTCAGTAAAAGAATCTCAGAGCGGAAATCGCAAGAAACTCCAAGAACATCTAAGGAGACTAAAAAAGAGAAGAAAAAGAAACACTCCTTCGACATAATATACGGCGAAGGAGAAGGTGCCACAGACTACGAAGGCAAGTCCATCCAAAGAGACACAGTCACCCAGTCACCCAGCTCTTCCTCAACGGCAGAGCCTTCATCAAGCGAAAGCAACAAATCCATTGAAAATGAAGTTGGACAACATCATGGTGAAGAAGAACAACAACCGGAAGGAGACTTAGAAGATTATCATGAACATGAAATCACCGATTCTGGAAGAATAAGTAGTGTTCTCTCCGTCGAGGAAGAGGAAGTCGAAGAAGAAGAAACACCGTTCATCTCAGTATTCGACCGGTTAGACGTCGAACGACCAGTTCTAGACGTCCCAGACGTGATTACACCGGAAATGCTGAAGAAAATCTCCGTAGACCTTGGCCAGATTCGCCTGTGCTGGCCAAAGAAGGAAAAAATTCGTATCGACTTCATGCCCAACGTAATCCTACCGGATGGTTACCTCATGAACACCAACAAGGAAAAGGTGTTGCTGCTTTACACCGAAAACTTTCGCGTACAATACCATGCGCGCTTCCCCAACCGGAAACCACTACTACTATGCGGCGATAATGTTGCCGGACAGAGGGTAAACGATATCAAAAATACGACCGGGGTAATATCCTCATTATATTTTGTTATGGGTATGTGCAGAAAATGGTGTGCACAACACTGCGTCCAACAACACTTCCGCATCCGAACCTAAGCACTTGGCAGGAGTTGGCGAGCTTCGTCGCCGATCATATCAAGTACGAACCTTTGGATCCGCCCACCAAACTGGTAAGTGCAACTTACAACTACTCACAGCTTTTGCACAATTACATCACCAAGTACACGTGGTGCGCGCGCGCGCGTCTTCGCGAGTTGTTAAACTCGAGCGCGCGTACATTTAATTAGTTATTGTTTGTTGAGAGAGTTTGGGTTTGATGGTGTTTTAAGCTGTGGCCTTGTTGGCCTAGTGAATGCAAATGAAAGTAACTTTCGTTTAAATGCGCCATAACACAATTTATAACGGAATTACAAAATTACGGAAATCGCATGTGTACTCTCCAGCACTCTCGTGCATTTACGACTGAACACATTCTAGCATAATGAGACTACTCGGCGAAGAGAATATTTATGAATGAATAATTCATAATAAAACGCAACAGGTTAAATTGGGTGACGATGTGGTTGTTGTTATGCGATGCCCGTTTTCACGGTCATTATCAAATCGATTTTATCTCTTCACCGTTGTATTTTGATAGTTTAGATATCAAGCGGTGTGATAATTAAATCAATCCAGATATATAAAACGTTGTAAATTCTCACGGTTTCAAAAATCTGCGCAAACAAAAAATGCCGGAAAAAATCTAGATTAATGAACACATTCAATGCGACGCGCTAAAAAACAGAATTTTACGTGCACATTATAATGCATGTCATGCACTGTGCAACCGTTTTAGCTCCGAGCTCAACGGTGTTCCGCGTTCGCGACATTAAACTTTTCCTCCGAAGGGTTGGCGACCGTTTTTGCTTCGCCTGCACAAATAATGCATTGAAATTATCGCAAGAAAGTGCGTCGTCTACCTGCGTTCGGGCCGCGAGAAGATCGTAGGTTCGCAGTTGCACGTTGTTGTTGTTGTATCCCCGCATCCCTCGAAAGGCTTAGCGCAACGAAGCACACAATACGCGACCCCCGAAATTACGTTTGGCATTGTTCGCCCCGTCCGTCGAGCGGGTCGCGCGGCTGTAAGATTCTGCCGGCGAAACGCTACACCGTGCGCGCTCTTTCGTGTAATTTTTTTGTGCACGGGTAATATTACGCTTTTCCAACCTTTGAAGAGAACAGAAGTGGTTGGCTGCTGCAGCCCGCGGGAATCTTTACCGAAATGTTTACGGCTTGCAATTAAACTTTCTAAACTTTTTTTTTCCTCCTTTCAGAAAGGCACGGGTTTACAGTTATGCGCGCAAGCGGTTTGTTATGGTGTTTTAAAGCCAGTAAAATTGATTATTGATTTTTATGATGAGCAGAGGTGCACGGTTGTAAACTTTATGACACCGATCGACAAAACAAACCAAATCGACCAAAATGTAAATTAAAATCAGCGACAAGTTTGCACACCGTCCTATTACATAAAGGTTGAAAGCGACATTGAAAAAATAGTTTGTAACGAGATATTTTAAAAATGCCCGGCAGACAATAATGACCTCGCCACTATTTTGCATCTCGTGCAACGTGCGCCCGCCAGTAGAGTATTTCGACCGTGTCCATCCGTTTTTCGTTTTCTGCGAATCGATCTTCGGGGAACCGACGATGCTGTCGGGGCTTTGTGCATCGGTTGCCTCGTTGCCTGTCATCCGCGATCGATTTTTCGGACCGTGAAATCCGAACGCACATTTACGACTCGACGGACCCGAGGCTCCCAAGGAAAGCGGCCCCGAAACGCCATCGACGAGCGCATCAATAATAGAGCCCCGAGCGCACAAAAGTACACGGTGGTGCATCAATATGACGCCGTGACGTCGATCGCCGGCCGCGTGCATGTGCGTGTGTGCGGGGTGAGAAGGGAGGCAACACGGGTGCGCTCATTGTGTCCCAGGCACGCACTTTATCTCTAAGCAGAAACCCCACGAGGCCGGGGCGCGCGGAAAGCTTTCGACGCTTTTTGCGCGTGTTTTTTTCGTTTTCAATAACTAACACATAATAGAACGGCATTGCAGCCAGCAAACAACCCCTTCCTGGTAGTGCTGTAAAATACCAACCACCATACCAGCAGAATACGCTGAATATAACCGAATAACACCGTGCGGACGATGCGCACTGCACGGTGCATTCAGTGTGTTTATTATTGAATCACCTTTCTGGCCTTCCGCTCGCTGCACACGCGCCGGCGGATGCATAATGCGTATTTGCGCGCAGCTGGCGATTCGCGACATTTTCAAGTTTTAAACGAATCACACGTACCGCGGGCGAGCGCACGCAACACAACAACGATCATCGAACCGAACGCGGGCGCGCGCGCGAGCTTGGCGTTGATTCATGCGCCGGCGAGGAGGGCACGCGCTTAATCACATTCCGCTCAATACGCGCACACAATAGAAAAGACGGCGGCCGCCGCGCGAGCCTCGCTGTTTCGGACCGGGTACCTGATTCCGCCGATATGGCATGCAACCGACGTGCATCCGCCGGCGGCCATCAGCCATCCGTCGTGGAACGCTAAACGCGCCCTCATGCTCTTTGTGCGCGGCGCGGCGGCGACGTCGCGGACGCAACGAAATATGACGCCACACGGTTGAGTCATGACGCGAGCTGCGCGGTTCGCAGCCAGCGAAAAGAAAAAGACAACGGAGAAACAAAACACGGGCAGCGGGCACATCTGCCATCCGAGAGAAATTACAGCAGGCCTCGTCGCGAAGAGGGATTACTTACACGCGGTTATAGGCCCCGCATCGAACAAATCATCCACGATATTATTTTTTACAATCAACGCGAAGAAATAATAAAATAAAATTTCTCACTTTTAATATGAAAACGCGTGCGAATGCAAAGTTTGCATTTAATTTGACCCAATGCCCGAATTACCCAGCACTCAACTGTGAACATATATAGCGCGCAAAGTCGGCGGGATATATATAAATGTGTGTTAATGGAAATACTACAAGTTTAATGCCGCGCCAGTCGGGTTTATACATTACATTACACATAAATCGACTCATAAATCTGTAAAACAACCTGTTGAGCGCGCGCGCGCTCCAAGCCGGAGCCGGAGAGCACTCGTCGAGAATGTGCACAGGAAGAAATATGCCGATATAATGTGTTTGTGTGTATTGTACTAGAGAGCGCGAGCGAGCGAGCGCTCGCCGGCTAGGTGTGTGTACAGTTTGTAATAATAGGGAAAACCGCATTCGTACACAACGCATCGGACGCTGGTATTCATGCGATACACATTTGTAGAATTACGCGAATGTGCGCGATGTTTGATGTTGGACGCAATGAAGGGCGTTTTATCAATCGGATGCGATACGACGTTATGACTCGCGTGCGTCGTGTTACGATTACGAGTTGGTGAACAAGTGGTATAATAAATGCCAGGAATGAATCATTAAATAAACTCTGAATGGGAAATTAAAATGAATGAAAGTTATTTGTCTTTTCTTTCCGTCTCTGCCCTTCTTCCTTTCGGCACTTGTAGTTAAATTCCGCATGTGTTATACGAGGGGAAGGAAACTGTTGCTGAAACTGATTTCGGTGAGAGTTGAGAGTTGCGTTTGAGTTTTCTAATGGCACCAAAGTCATCACATGTGTGTGGGTGTGCACAAAAGTTTGTGGGAAACTTTTTAAAACGTTTGCGAGTCCCGTTTTATGGCGCATTGTCGCAGGTCATGGTCATAATATGCTTTTCGGCGGTTTTTAGTTTTCGCCCGTACGTCGGTCGTCGGCTTGTGTCTTTGGCTGCTGGAATATATTTTGCAACGAAATTGATTTTTTGCGCCCCGGCGCGACGACGACGTCGTCGTTGAAGCTGACGCTGAAGCTCTCTCGTCGATGAAGCGTTATTTTTTACTCGCGCTCGCGCGCTATGTCGTCGCTGGCGGCGGGCGGCACTTTTTTATTCGCTTTGCTGCAATATGATGCTTTTTTCAACGTGGACACGCGATGGGTTTTATGCGCGAATGCGAAGCGGCGGCGCTACGGATCGCGCGCGTGGTCCGCGGCGCGCTCGCTCCCTCGGGTACGCCGCTGCTGCTGGCGGCGGCGGCGTTGGGCGGTCGGGTGGGCCGCGAACGGCGAGGCGGCGTTTTTTTCCTCTCGCGAGCGCTCCCCGCTATATTGCCACGGCACAGGATGTGTCTGCGCGCGAGTGTGCGTCGAGGGGGCGGCGGCGGCGTTGGTGTTGGTGCGAGAGCGCGGCGCGCAGGGTGAAACATGCGATGCGGGCGTTCGCGAAAGAGGGTGGCGAGGGTGGCTCGACGCCGTGGGGATCCGCGCGTCCGCTCCACACGTAGCGAGTGGGCGGCTATACGAGGGTCTTGCGGCCCGAAAGTCGATGGACGCGGAGGGGCGGCGCGGGGATTTCACGTCGCGCGGCGCGAACGAAACGAGTTTGCGAGCGTGCTAACGCCGCAGCTGTATTGGTGTGTACGTGTGTGAGAATGTGAGCGTGCGGATGGACGGCCGGCATTGCCGCCGGTGCCGCCGCCTGCTTATATTGCCGTGCTCGCCGCCGACGCCGCCGCCGTTCTATCTTTCTTCTCACACCATCCGTACCCGCGCCTCAACCCACGTCCGCTGGTCGCCAGCGCGCGCTCAGTATTAGAGAGGCCGACGCCGCCGTTGCCGCCACCGCCGTCGCCTCACACCATCCGCCCGGCGCGCTCCATCACCCGCCCACCATCCGTCGTTGACCCGGCCGACCAACGCAGCCGCCCTGCCCTCCCTTTCCGAACCCACCGACCGACATATACCACCCGACCACCCATCCGCTCGCTCGCTCTCATCCTCCTTCACAAAACCCATCCGACCAACCAGCCAACCAACCCCCCGCCGCCCAGCAGCAGCCCGATGCGATGCTTCGCGCCGTCACGTAAACAGCCCGTGTGAAATTACCCCGCGCGCAGCCGGCCCAAATCAGCCGCGCGGCAAATACCCAACTTGCATCCCTTAATACGCTCCTCGCTGCTGCCTCGGCACCGTGTGTTCATTCTCTCGCTCGCATGCCTGCGTGCACACGCCGCCGCGCGCACCGACACACCGGCATCGCGGCGGGTACACACGTATTGAGCACATCGAACCAGCGAACGACGAACGAACGGTTCGGTTCGTTCGGTCCTCATCCTACCATCCGCGCGCCGCGTCGCTTTTGCCCGCAACCTTAGAGCGAGCCGCCGCGTGGCGCACCCTCCTCCTCCGCGCGGCGCGCATTTTGCACGAAATGCCCCACGGCCATGTACGCCGAAACTCACGCACACCCTGTCGAAATGCTCGCACATACACACATGCATACCCACCCAATACACATACAATCGCGACTCTCCGCGGCGAGCGCACAAAGGGACATTACGTATCGCCGAGGCGACCGCGTCCACCCAGCGAGCGACCATCAACCGCCGCCTGTTCGCCCGATGGACAATGCGACCATCGGGCCCCGCAATTCACCGTTCGACTATTCGACTGAGGGTATCCGAAAATTCCAGTCTTGAATCACAACTACTTTGAATGTCGTTTGATTGACACCTCTTCAAAAGACAAATCACATATAATTACGACTGTGGGAAAACTAGTCTACCAATAAAAAAAACTAGACTACAAAACGAGGAATCAAATTCACATCATCAAACGCACACCTTTCCTTTATTATCCAGGATTATATCCGCTTCTGTGCGGGCATTCAATCCAACACTATAAATCTCTGCCCAAATTAAGAAATTCTCCGCATAATCAATTTACTGTAGCACACACAAACACACACACACACGTGATCGCATTCTTCCATCGGACAAATTGCGAAATTTATGCGAAACGCGCAGAAAATGAAGACGGGAGGTGAATTTGCGACGATTTAAAGATACGTCGCGTCGTTTTGTTTGCGAGCGAGCGCGCCGTAAACCAGTTATGCTAATTTTTACGACGCATCCGCAGTAGTTACGAGTTTGCGCCTGACATGCCCGAAGAAGAACAAGAACAACAATATAGCGTATTATTCGTGCGTTTGCCGGAAAGCCGGACGAGTGTAAGCGAGAGAGAACCAGCCATCCACCGCCGTCGAGAAGGCAGCAGCAGCATGTGAGGCGGACGACACACAATGCGGAGATATTCAACATTCAACAGCTACAGGTGGATTTATTTCGATTTGTTTTTTGCGCTCGCCGGGCGTCCGAATTGAAACTGAACTGAAAACACACACACTCCACTAGTAGAGAGTACAGGAAGCAAAATGAAACGAAACGGAATGCGCGTGTGCCCGAGAAGAGAAACAACACACTCTCCGCACAACTGTAATGTTGTACACCGCGGTGCACACTATATATGGATGTGAATGTTGTGTGCGGAATAGAATGAATGAAAATGAAATGAATGAAATAAAGTTTGCAACTCTGTGCTGTTTTTTTTTTGTTTCGCTTTGCAGCGCGTGTAAAACGTAACTTTTTACTACTTCTGTACGCGCGCCCGGTTGGTTCCGATTGCCATAACAACATAACGTACTACTACTCACGCCCATGCTCGACAAGTTGAAGAGTAATGTAAAACCGTGTTACGCGACACACAGGTCCGTGCGCACATAATTTAATACAATATATACACGCCATGCGAACAAGTTTCGCACTTGTTGGACGCGAAACGAAAGTGAAACGCTGGGCTTCACATCGCATTGCGAATCTTTTCGTCGGCTGTGTACAGAGTTAAATCCTGTCTAGTAATGATACGTTACGTCTGGAACGCGGGTGACCCAGTTTTGTAACTTTGGCGCCGCAGCGCGCGGGACGAGTGGTTTCAGATTCGAAAGGTTTAGCGAGAGAGCAAAGTACGCCGCGCACGAATTACCACCCCCTGCGTTCCAAGCGCGAAAAATGATTAAATTCTCATTAAGGATTTGCCATTAGGCGAATTACACATATACATCTATAGAGTGTACTCCATAAGAAGCTGGTTTTCCCAGAAAAGCATAGTTAAAAATCTCATGACCTTGAAATGTCAAATTAATGCACAGATGCAAGAAACACGCGGGCTCGTTAGGATGTCGAGGTTTCGGGGTACGGTACGCTCTCACACAGATTCAAAGCCGGTCGGATAATACGCGAGGGTGCGTTCTGCGTTTCGCTAAGCTGCGATGCGCATCGCAACACGCCCGATTCCAAGAATCGCCCGAAATGAGCAAATAACCTGAGCCGGGGACGCGAAAGCGCATACACACACATACACACACACACCAACCACGGTCATTTGCCTCGGCCGCGCGTCATGCAACGCGAAGAAAGAGAGAAACGGCAAGAAAGCCCCTCTGGAAGCCCAGCGGTTTGTTTATTATCCGTCCATCTTTTGCGTTTTGTGCGCGCACGGTGCGCCCATGTGCACATGCCGCCAACCTTCACCAAAACTCTGATGGGCTGCATTTTCGGGGCCTCGCGTTGCACATTGTACGCGGTGTGCATTATTCCGGTCATTGTAAGCAGCGCAAATGCTCAAGGCACCAACAACCATCAACGACGACAATTCGAAAACTTTACCCGTAGGCTTGTTATCTATTACAACCGACCGTGGCGAGCACAAAACATTACAACATACCTGAATATCAGCGGTGTGGAATGTCGATGCTCGATTGGAATTCACAAATCTGGAAAATAAAATAATAACATTAGAATTTTTCGAAGCTGGCTGAAATTCGTAGCGCAGTGTAAAAATCAGAAAAGCAGCGCGAGCAGCGTTCATGACGAGGCGCACGGATTTACGGCGCGCACCCCCCGCGGGGCGAATTTTACAGATGCCCGAAAACGAAGCGCACGGTTTATACGGCCCCATCGTTCGCTTTTGTTGCGACAGCGAGTCGCACAACAAGAGCCAACGTCGTGTTTTCGCCGAAATACGATTTACAATCCATAGATTTCGAAGAATAATTAGACACGCCGAGAATACGCACCTTGCTGAATTTGTGCATCTCTTGTAACATCTTTGAAATTTTCGCGTCTTGTTGGATATTGCGCGTTGACGTGGTCGCGTTTTCAGCTTGCTTTTTTTTCTCTTCTCCTCTTCGATGCCGGGAGGAAAGAAACTTTTACCAAATTGGTTTTGCTCGAGAGCGCTCGCGCTCGCCGCGGTGGTTTCTTTGTGTCGCGGTGTGCGCTGCGCGCGTTGGATGCACGCGGCGCGCACGATTTTTTTGTTGTTCAATTTTGTTTATTTATCGCCGGGCGTTTCGCGTTCGCGTTCTGGCGCGGCGGCCCAGGCTGCGTGTATTTATCGCGCATCGCACGTAGCGTTTTTCTGCGTGCCGCGCCTGAGCCCTGCGCTTGTATGCTTACATGAATGTTGTATGTAGGTGTGTATGTGTGTGTGTGTGTGCGAACGCCCGTCGGGTCGACGTTGCCCTCAGTTTAGCGTTTCGCGTTGTTCGCTCGTTCGCTTTTCCTTCGAGCGTTCGAGGCTCTCGCGTTATTAAATTACGTGCGCGATTTAGACGTACGCCGCTCGCTCGTCGCACACATGGCGGGCGCACGAAACGCAACGCACACGTTCGCGCGACGAAGATTGGAACGTCGGTCGGGCGCTGCTGGGGCCGCGCCTCGGCAAAACGCGAGCGCGACGCGCCGCGGCGTTTCGTGTGCGTTTTGTTGCGTCGGCGAGACGCGGCGCGCGGGGCAGCGCGGGGATAGCGGGCGGCATATTATATTCGCGCTCCTCGCGAAACGCGAACGCGCCGCGGTCTGGCTGCGCTGGCAGCGCCCGCGGGGTACACGGGGCGATGCGGGAGGGCGCCCAACGGTCGCGAAATAACCGTAACTACCACACTCGCGCGATTCGCGCCTGCCTACTGCATGTTGCAATAAACCCAATCAAAAAATAAAATATAAACACCTACAAAACAATCTACAATACCAAAATACCAAATAAAATAAATCAAAGAAATTTTATGATTAATATTAAGTAATAATATTTAAAACACCCTGTATTTGAAAAACACATGCACGCTAACGATCGCGAAGCGCGAGACCGTCGTTCGCGTCCTCGTCGCGCCGTCGCTCCGCGCGCGCATAATGAAAACACGCGAAAACAACAAACGGGGAACGCCGCCGCGCCGCGCCGGGTGCCGGGCGGCCGTCGCGCGATAGCTTATCTTAACTGTCATTGAGCGTTGTTTGTTGTTCCAAAAGGCTGCGCTGCTGCGTTGAATTCGCTGCCTGTGCTGCGCCAATAACGCACATTGCCGTATAATGATTGGACGAGAGTAGCAACAAATCCAATTTCTAAAACTAGCAACAATTACACACACCCAACAAATTTCATTCGAATATAGAGCCGCAAACTTCGAAATCTATTACCGCTCAAGAAGAAGCAAGCGGTAAACGCAGTGAATTCCTGTTATCTGTTGATCCTGTCTAGTCTAGTCGTAACATGACAAATGACACACACTTTGAAGCGCAATAACGCGCGAAAATCGCTCCAGATCGCTCTCGTGAGGGGGTGGAATGTGCGCCGGCGAATAAAAGCGCATTTCGCTCTAGTTCATGAGCATTGAACTTGGACTTTATGGCCTCGGCGCACTTAAAACTTTTACATTTCGCCTTCAATTCGGCGTAATTCTTCCTCGCCCTGACCTTGGGACGATGAAAATACGCGTCATTGTTTGTGCGCGCGCGGGGTTGATGAAAATTGTCGAAATTGATTGCATGGCATAAACGCGCGCGCGCTCCCCGCCGACCTTCGTTGCGACTCTTCGCAAAGTTTTATAACTCGTTTGGTTGGCGCGCCGCGGCGTGGGATTGGGATATAATTTGGGCCCAAACCGCGGGCGCGCATCGATTAGGCGGCGGCGTGGCGCGACGTCGGCGGAATTTCGGATATCGCGAATACGTGGAAACGCTCTGCGCGCTCGCTTGCGGTCGCGTGTTCCCAAAACTTTCGGTTATTAGCCCGATATTTATAATGCGGTCGAATGCCTGCCTGCCTTGCTAGCGTTGGGCAGCGCGCGAGTGGAAAACTCGACATTTGCGCGCACCGGATGGCAAAAGTACAAGAGCAGGTAGTCGTAGTAGCGAAGAAGAAGAAGATGATGCTCAATATTCGAAAGCAGGATGGAGCGATCTACGAACGATCTAGAACCAGCGGCGTTCGGGGGCTTCGGTGCCATCACCATCAGCTGTTGTCGCAAAGAAGGGCGAAGGCAGGCAGGCAGGCAGGCGAGCGTCGCATCGCCGCTTCGAGGGATGATGATGCTAGGGGTTGGCGGGGCGGCGGTGCGGCGAGGGGCGCGTATTATTCTCGCGAAACGGCGAGGCGACGCTAACCCACACACACACACACATATATACTGATAAACGCGGCGCACAGCACACCAACGAAGCCCACCGCGCGCCGTTAGCACACGGCTGGCTGGCTGGCTGGCGCGCCGAACGAGAAAAGGGGGTGGGAGGGTGTCACGTCAAGCCGTCACGCGGGGACTCGCGAACCCTCCGGCTTTCGCGGCGCCGCGGCCGCGCGCTCTCGCACACTCCACACGCTGCTCTCTAGCCGGCCGGTCGCGCGCCTTCCTCCGCTCTCTCGCGACTCTCCGCCAGCCGTCCGCCGTCCGTCGCACACGTAGTATTGATCGACTGGACAAAGGAACTGACCACCAGTTCGCAAGAAACCCTCCGACGGTGCGCACCACCACCCGCCGTCGCAGCGAGAGACACACAACAACAAACGCGATTCAAATGCGCGCGCGCTCGCTGCTGATATTCATTCATAAACGCAAACAAAAACTTTTCACCGCGCGTGTGAGTGAGTGCTGACTGAAGTTTTAAGTGAGTGAGACAAGTGTATGTGTGTGTACATCTTCTTGTCGTCGTCGTCGTCGTCCTGTTGCGTCCGCCCACGCGTGCCGTTGCGATACTACTACTGACTTTACGAGTTTTAATAACTCGTGGAAAACTTTGCAACTAGCCGGGCGCACGCGCTCCCGCTCTGCTGAGAGGAAAAGTGGAAATCGAAATCTCATCTGCTGCGCGCGGCATAAACAAACAAACCACAACGTGGTTGAATTAATCAGCTGCCGCCGCCGCAGTTTGTGTTGTTTTCCAACGGATCGGATACCCGCGACTGCGCTCGCACCGAGTGCGTGTACATCCGCGCGGCTTCTCCCACCACCACCACCACCGGCCGCAATTGTATACACCGCGGCGGTGCACGTGGTTGTGTGCCCCTGTGCTACTGTGCTACCGTCTTCAGTTCGGTGCATGTTGTGTTGAGACGATGATGCTGTCGACGAAGGCAGGCAAGCGCCCGCTGCGCTCGCTGACTGCACACGAGAAACTCGAGGCGATCAGACGTGTGCACGACGGCGAAAGTAAAGCGTCGGTCGCGCGCGATATTGGTGTGCCCGAATCAACCCTTCGCGGCTGGTGCAAGAACGAAGAGAAGATCTCCTACATTTCACGGCAATCATCGCCGGACACCGACGACTCCATGCACATGCTCTACGAGCCCAAAGAGAAGAAAATCAAGCTCTCCGATATGGACACCCCCTTCAATCTGAGCCTCAAGAGTGTCGACGGGTTGGATAAACCAATTAATCTAAAAAGTGATAGCACCTCAAAGATGCTCAGCGAACGTGAGCGCAATCGCGCCGAATTGGCTCGCATCAGCGTGGAGTTGGGCCTGAATCGGCCGGAAATGTACTCGGCGGGAAATTCGCTCGCTGATCTCACCTCCAACATTGGCCTGCTCAGCCAATGGAATAATTTGCTGCTCCAGCAAGCGACGAGTACGGCAGCGGCGAGTTCATCCAAGAAAAAGATCGCCGCAGCCGACACCAGCTCAAATGTGATCACCTCCTCGAACAACCTGCTTACCACCTTCAACAAAGACTCCACCACCAGCAGTAGCAGCAAACTCAATGGTCTCGACCTCCCGAAATTGGACTCGCAGAAATCCGTTGAGGATTCCGTCTGGTACTGGCTCAAAACCCATCAGATGCTCGGATTCAACCAAGGTACCAATCTGCTTGGTAATCTTCCATCATCCACCTCAAACACAAGCAGTTCCATGACGCTGCCGCCCACCAGCTCAACGACGGACCAAAACAGCTCCTGGTTCTGGAAGTGGTACAAGCAGTACACGCAAGCAGCCCAACAACTCCAACAACAACACCAGCAACAGCAACAAGCAGCATCCCAACAATTACAACCGCAACAGAACGCGCAGGCGATCCTCTACCAGCAGTTGACAAAGGAAGCCAAGGAGGCCAAGTCCGCCGAGTCGCCCAAAGCTGCCGAACCGTCGGCGAGCGCGGATAACGCCGAGAATCAGAACAAGGCCGAGACACAGGGTGAGAAACCACAGAGTAATACGAATAAAGCGCGCGCCGTATTGGACAACCTTCTGCTGAACAACAACAACGTCCAGCAGACCAATTGCAACGGCGGCAAAGACGCCGGCGACGATCTCTCGCAAACCGAGGCGATCGAGCACGGCGAGAAGTTCCTCAAATGGCTAGAGTGCTGCAGCGAACCATCAGTCACCGCTATGCAAATCATGCAGTTCCGCGGGTTGATCAACAACATTAAGACCGGCGCGGATCGCAAGAACGGCGACGTGCAAAAGACAAAAGTCCGTCGGAAATAAACCACCACCACCACCGCCGACGACGACGACTTGATATTCAATTTCTCCAATGAAGGCTTGTGTACAGCTCAAACCAAATTCGTAATTTAATAAATATTATTAGTAAAATCACGCGTTTCGACAAACGGAGGTGAGAAAATGGCGAAAAGAATTGAAAAAATCACATATATAAATAGTTGAAGCGTTTTTTATGTAGTCTATGTAAAATTCTATTTGCTAATTCGATATCCGACGATTTGTAAAGATTTAAAAAGTAAATTTCATCCTTCGAATGCCAGTGTTACCAAAAAAAAGCAGAAAATAATTCACTCGATGCGAATGCCCGCGACTGTGACTGACAAAACACTTTTTAGTCATTTGTACCATACCGATTACTTATCATTATTATCGAATAGATTGTATTAGAGTGCCAAATAATAATTATCGCAAACCGAGCGCGAATTATTTGATTAACATCGCGGTCATAATCTCGCGCGCACTTTTCGCTGATTGCGTTTCGCAGGTTGTGCGCCGCGCTAGAGTTAATTTTCCGACTGATTATATTTTGATTGAAAACACTAATATTGATCTCATATTTTATGTTTAATGAACCGCATACGGATTGACACACCCGATGCCAAAGTATTATTATATAATTATACCCCGATCACGCTTTGTAAATTATTTTCAAACCAATTTTTGTCCAATTTTTATGTAAATATAATTAAATTTTTCCTATAATTGTGTAGCCTCTTTGCAAAACGACACACTATTGTAAATATACTTGTTACTTAAACTGACGATTGCAAAGAGAATTTTATGAAATGCAACCAAATGTTTGTGCTTATTTTCCACACACACACACTAATCACAAAACACTTTGTTAACAAAACAAGAAAAAATCTGTATTACTATTAAATTAAAGCAGCACAAATTTTTAGACGTTGCTGCAAATCATGTGAATTGAACACGAAAGGAAATGATAAAAAAAATTGTACAGTTAACTATAATTAACTATTTAGTCATTTTTGATAGTCCTATATATTTAGTTTTGAACGCATTAAAAAAAATTGTAAAATTTGTTATTTGTTCAGTGAAGTTTTCATATAAGAATGACGACGATGTAAAGCGAAAGATTCGGAAGTAAATCAAAATTGTGAAGCAAGATAAGCGCGAAATAAAAAATCTATGAAGGCACGTGACTTTGTATTTTTAAAACTTTTTGGAGAGACGAAAAAAAAAAACGAATTACCGAAAGTCTTGCACATCACTTTTACATAAATAATATTATATGTGAGTAAACACACACAATTGCAGTCGAATGTGAAATATTTGAAGCAAAAATTGATATTTTTCTGTATAAAAACAAAGAGTCATAACACTTTCAAACTTATCTTCGTTTACATTCATTAAATATGTTTCTAATTACGAGATGAAGTTATTTTATTGCCCCGATTATCCTTTTCTAATCCCTTTTCAGGTATATTTCAGTGAATTCAATTTGAATGCGTCGAAAATTAGGTGTTTTTGTGGTGAAAGTAGACAATAATGACAATTAAACCGTTCCGGGGGTAGGGAGTCAACAGGATTATAGCTGGGATTAACACAATTACACGCCAACCAGCGGACTGCGAGTAGATTTAAAGTTTACAACTCAATTTTCATACACCAGATGTTATTCTTTCAACTTTATCAATTTAATCTCTTGACCTGTAAAATAACTACGCGTAAATCTACTTTAAAATAAAAATTATGATTTAGTTAACCATATTAATCACCTATTAACCACTAACAACCCTTCGCGGTTGTAACTAATTGCGTAAATCACACAAAGTGATAAAACCAAAAGAATTTCCGCGTAAAACTCGTCGAAAACTTTTCTACAATGAAGTGATTCGAGAGTTCATCCCCTCGACTTGTGTACAACGTAATAAAATCATCCCCTGAATCACATCGCAATGTTTTAATTACAAACTAATCCAACATGTTCGAAAATGATTGTTGTATCGGTTCATTGAAGCGATTATGCCGGCGATGACGCAAAAAGACGTAAAAACACACATAAAGCAAGCGCGAAAGTAGAAAATAAGTGAAAAACAAACGCTCGAAAGTGGGTAGTTGGGATTTATTTCCGGATCTCTCTCGCACCCGACTTGAGCGCTCGCGCGCGCACACGCCGGCAAAGGGTGTGTAATAAAGTAACGGACGGAACAATAACCGACTGAATGGCGCATACTTCGTATACTCACACCAACACACATACACATACAAGCGCATAAACATTCACACTCGACTCGACTATTTACGTTTGCACTTCTTCTTCTTTGCTCCTTCTTCTTCGCGGCGCGAAACTTCGCCTACTTTGGCTCGGTACTTATTACTGACATTATTCGATATACGACCGTTCGAGTGTGCGTTGTATAAGTAATACTTTTTACTTGTTTTCACTCCTTTCATCTTTTTACTACGCCTGTAAGCGTACTACGGATGTGGATGAATGAAGAGAATAACATGAATGAAAATTTAATCGAATTTTCACATCGATAACTACGATTCAAGTTAAATTAATCATCAGCAGCGTTGTAAATTTAATGAGCGAGGAATAACTTTTATTTACCGCATCATGCGTGGGTGAATTTATTTGCTCGTTTGTTGAGTTTTTACGATTTGTTTGTTTTCGCCCCGCCGGCGGCGGCGTGCACAACTAGCGCCGCACTTGAAAATTGTGATGAATGAGCAATGAAAATTGTATCTGACGGGCAGGATCCACAGGTCCTGCCGCTCTACGGCGCACAGTCATAAATTTAAACTAATAAAAAACTTTCCTGCTACTGTACGCTCACCCACACACACAAACAAAGTGTGAAAATTATGTTTTCTAGAGCATTCTTCATTTCGAAAGTCTTTAAAACTCGACGAAAAAATGATTCGTAATGGTAATCGCTTTCCTTCATTTCCACTTGACTGCGAGAGAAGCGCAGAGGAAAACGATTCGAAAATTACTCGCGTTCACTTTATTACATCATCATGTTTTTGCGCGTAATTGTTTCGAATGGGAGTTAAATCGTCCCCCATTCACTGTTCGAAACTGAAACATAGCCACCACCGCCGCTGCCGCCGCCGCCGTCGAGTTTTATATGCGCGTGTGTTAGTAGGTAAAGTGGATGCTTTTATGTGCATGTTTTAGTTGCTCATTCGTACAATTTTACTCTCGTTTTCAGTCGGGGCGCGCGCCCTGTGTTTTGTTGTGTGTTTTATTCGCTTTTGTTTTGTTTCGGATGTTCTGTTTTGATTGTTCGCGCGAGAGTGTAAAGTGTGCGCGCTATGTGAATGCAATCTGCTAGATGGTGTAGTAGATGATCTAATCGCATTAAAAGGCATTTTATACTACTGACCTTACGCAAGATAACCCCGCCAGACACAACCCTCGACGTAAAATGGCACAACAATGCGAATGATGATGTTTGTGCGCGCGCGAGAATGTAAACCTGTCACAATTTTTTTCTCAGTTACTTACTTCTTTTTGGAAACACACGTCGTTTGTCTCTCCGCTCCGACGGTGGGATTCGCGGATCGAGCGCGCTTGATGGATGATTGCTGGCCTGAAACAAAAAAAAAACCAGCAAGGTTTAGACGGGCGAGAGAATTTCGCGCGAAATAGATTATCGCAAGAAAACCGGCCGCATGAAAAAGCAGCAAGTGGGACGCCGAAATATTGTTTCGCTTGGGTCGATTTTTGGTTGGCGTGGCAACGCAATGTTTTTTTCCGCGCTGCTGTGTGTGCGTGTATAAGGATATCGGCTGTATATTAGGTTCGTGAGAACGAATGGACGGGCAATTTCCCGAGCACACGTAGTGGAAACGCGCGAGTGGGTCGTTCGGCCGCGCCGCGCGAAGGCCATCATCATCCGACGCGGCGCGGCGGCCGCCGCCGCGGATAGTGTGCGAGCGGCCGTCTCCCCTCGTCGCCCCCCGCCTGCCACACCACACCACACCATACCACCCCCCAGTCCGTCCCTTTCGCATTCGACCCCTGCATCGCGCGCGCGGGTCCACGTCGTCGGCGTCTCCCCTGCTGGCGCACACAGCCGCGCGTTTCGCGCCGTCCTTCGCCGCCCTCACACCATCCGCCGCCACCCACTCGCCGGCGTTCGCTAACCAACACCGGCGCGACGGTGAGCGCGGGCGGCAGCGTGTACATACACGCCGGATGTTTCGGGCGCGCGTGTGCGCGTGCACGTACAGCACGTAGCGCGCGAGGAGACGCGCGTAAACCGTGCCCGCCGGCCGAAGGCAGGTCGCAGCGTCCGCTGCCGCCGCCGCCGCGCTGGCCGCGCGCGAGCCGAGGGGGTGGGTTCGGATGCGGCGCGGCGTGGCGCGACGCTGGTGTGAGGTGGTTTAGGTCGGTGGGTATTGATCAAGGCCGGCCGCCGCCGTGCCATGGTGCCTCCGCCAGCCGCCTCCGCCTCCACCTCTGGCTGGAAGAGCCGAAATTGCCGGAAGAATGATGTCCTGCCAGGCCTACTTAGAACCTTCCAGGATAATAACGGCATAAACGTTCTTCGCGCGCGCTAAAACGCTGCAGCACAGCAAACGCTGCTTGCCTGCCTGCCTGCCTTCGTCGTCGCTGCCGCTGCCGCCGCCACCGCGGGACGTAAAACGCGAAAATCCGCAATAGGGTTGCGGCACTATTTTAACTCGAGCGCGCTCGGTTTTACTGTCAGCATGCCGCTTGTATAATGAAACGCGAACGCCAACGCCGTCCGCCAACCGCCCACCCCCCGAACACGCCAAACATTGAACATTGAATGCCGAAGGAGAGCAAACAAAGAAACCAGACACCAGCAGCATGCGCGCTCGGGAGATGCAATAATAATTAGTTCATCTTCTAGTTACCGCCATAAAATTAACTCTTTTGCCTACATCACGCGACCTGCGCAATAATTTCCACCAAAAACAAAGATTTACCCAACAACAACAAGAGTAGAGTAAAATTCTCCACGCTAGAAATTCGCCTCTCTATCAGTCATGGTTAGCACTCTGCGGATCCGAGGCCCTGGTTACCAAGCAGAACATCAAATTGCAGACGCGCAAGATAGCGCCGAAAAGCTCGCGTCGCACTGTGTCGCCCAGGAGCCACACGCCAGGGTAGTTTGCGCTAGAGATCCCTTTGAACTATCCCGCCATCCGCCGCCGCCGCCGTCGACGACGGTGGCCGCATTTACCGTCCAGTTTGCGCCAGATACTAGGTGAAACGAGCTTGCGACCGGACGAAGGGTTGTGTGCGGCTGCTGCTGCTGCTGGCGGCTAGAGAGGAGTATGAGGATGAGGAGGAGGAGGCGGCAGCGGCTGGGTTAGTCGAATACGTTAAGAGGGTGGGTTTGCGTAGTGCGGTGGGCTGTAACGCCGGCGGCCGCGGCGGCGGTGATATACACGTCACGTCCACTACATGTCCGTCTATCCATTACGACGGTCACGCCGCCCCCTCGACCGCCGCCCGCATTCGCACACACCTACACACACCAGCGGCGGCCGCGCAAAGATGAGAGACACCCACACGCGCGCACCCGCGTGCAGATATCGGAAACCCCGTGAATATATATCGCCTGCTCGGCGGTGGCAGCGGCAGCGGCGGCGGCCGTTCCAGCTCGCCCAACCATCCTCCCAGAGAACCGAGGCATGGCCACCAACAGCCACCCCGTCCCTGTCGAGGACGGACGCGAAACTACGAAATCGCGTCGCGACCCTCGGGCGGCCGTATATAGCGCGCCATCGATCTTCCATAATACATACAGTCAACCCACCCTCCAATCAATCAGTCGTGGTGCGCTCGGGGTTTTAGAATTTCGGCGCGCGGCTAAATTTTCATGCTCTTTTTTCTCCAATCCGCATACATGTGTGCGTTTGCCTAATCCATGCTTCGTGTTTGCATCATTTTTTCACTCTCTACATGCGTCGCACCTAGGTCCTAGGTATAGTCCTGCAAGATAAATAAGATGAAAGCAATTTCAACGCGTGGCCGGGGCAGCAGAGGCGCAGCGCCGTTTCGGGGAAGTTTACGCGGCGAAACTTTTAATTGTAAATAAATTGCGGAATTTCGAAATTAATTAAATTAATTAAGTTCGAAGGACGTTGCTGGGCGGCATGCTGCGTCCTTTCACAGCATCCCTACGCGTGTTACGTACACACCCGAGGAGTATAAGATGCGTAGTTGTCGTATATAGTAAATTATGGTTTTTGAGGCAACGCCAGCAACACAACCACCCTTCCTACAGAAGAGATTTTCGCCTTGCAAGGTGGCAGAGATAAGGGGTTGTGCACTGCACTGCGAACCCTCAAACAATAGACGACGGACGACGACCATCCGCGACCACCCTCTCATGGGGCGACACACAGTATCGCTAAATTTCGGCTAAAATTCCGAAACC